ATGTATATGGCATTCAAACAGATGAGGGAGGGAACATTGTAAAAGGAATATATACAACTGGGTATTATGTTTATGACAAGAGTCCAGAATGAAGGTAGAGTGTACTCAGTGAGGGGGGGATGGGGAGGACTGTATACCAATGAAGTAATTTTTCTTTTACTTTATAAAGAGAAGAGCGAACTAGGCGGTGAGGGCTAGGCAGGGAGAAAAATGCAACGATGAATGAATGGAAATCCAAAATCTCTGTAAATGTTCATTAACATTAATAAAATAAAATTTTTAAAAAAACAAACAAGGCTTCAAGAATTGAATAAATACCAAGTGAGAGGTTTCAACAAAGAGATGCAACCCTAGACATGCTCACTTGTCAATGCCAGGAAATCTGGAAGATAGCTACCTGGCCAACTCCGTGAAGCTGGACTACAGAAGAAGTCAGCAGTAAAAATGGAAGAAAGCGGTGTAAAATTTTCAGAGAACACAGCCTTGCTTGCTGTTATATGATTGTAAGAGACTTGAAGGACTTAGTAGTGAAGCTCAAAGGTCTCCAGTATTGATTACATCTCAGCATCAAGAAAACAAAAATCCTCAGAATTGGACCAATAAGCAACAGCAGGACAAACATAAAAAAATATTGTTACCTTAAATTATTTCATTTTACTTGGGTCCACAATCATGGAATCAAGAGTCAAGAAAGTAAACTACGTATTTCATTGGGAAAATGTGCTGTCAAGGACCTCTTGAAAGTGTCAAAGGGCAGGAGGCTACTTCGAAGTCTAGGGTGCACCTGGCTACAAGACTATGGGATTTCCAATCAACCCATATGTACTTAGCAACAAAACTAATATATGAATGTGGAGTCTGAACAATGAATGTTGTTATTGTTGGTAGTGTTAAGTGCTGTAGAGTTGTAGACAAACCATAGTGACCCTATGAAAGAAAGTTTTGAACACAAAACTTTCATCTTTTCTCCAAGTTCATAGTTTCCAGAGGAAAGCTATTTCTTGGAAGTGGATGCCACTCTGGCTTCCAAGCCTGTTTTATTCAGGAAATCCACAAAAACCAAAAGTCTTTTGAAAGTTGAGGCCAAATCAAATCAGTTCACAGCCTATTGTGAGCAAGAGTCACACCTTAGTCTCAACCCCAAACCAGAAAACACACCAGAATGTGGCATTTCCACCTTTCCACTCATCTTCCCAGCCTGAATAAGAAAGACTAAATAAGACGTGATGACTTGGAACCAAGATGAGATTTGGGGAGGGAAGGAGAGTTGGCCATGGACACAGCAATACTCGGCTGATTGGTGGGCATGTTTAACATGAACAGTTAATAATTTTATGGAAGTCAGTCGGTTTTTCTATTCCAAAATTGTCAACTATGCACAAATAAAAACTCCATACAAAAGAAAAAAATAAAGCAAAATAGTGACTTGGAATTGTGCATCTGGAGAGAATATTGATTATGCCATGAATTGCCATAAGAATAAACAAATTTGTCTTGGATGAAGTGCAACCAGAATGTTCCATGGACACATGATGGCAAGATTTCCTCTCACATACTTTGAGCATGTTATTAGAAGTCAGTGTCTCATGAAAGGCATCAGATTTGGTACAGTATAAAGTCAGCGAAAAAGAGGAAGACACTCAATTAGACAGATTAACAGAGTGACAACAAGGGTCTTAAGCACAAACAGTAGTTGTGAGAATGATGCAAAACCAAGCAGGGTTTTGTTCTGTTGTACAAAGAGTCAATGAGTCAGCTTCAACTCAACGGCATGTAACAACAATACAATTTCTTAAAGGTAACACCTAAACCTACATTTGAAGATTTCTTCTTACTGTTTTAGTTCTTTTTAAAAACTGTGTTTTTCCATCCAGGCTCAACAAAAAGACCATTCAGTAGAAAAGCAGTATGTTGTTGTTGTTGTTGTTGTTGTTGTTGTTATGTGCCATCGAGTCGCTTGCAACTCATAGCGACCCTATGTACAAGAGCTCTAAATGCTGTTCTATCTTGTGCCAACCTAGCCATCTCAAATGCACTTATTCCCACCACTCCAGTCACAGAATAATCCATCTCACCAAAGGTCTTCCTCTCCTTCGCTTCCCCTCCACTCTGCCAAACATGATGTCCCTTTCCAAGGACCAGTCCCTCGCAACATGCCCAAAATATGTCAGACGAAGCGTCAGAATCCTTGACTCCAGGGAAAGCAGTATATCTGTGAAATTATTTTGTTTTTAGGAAAAGCTAATTAGACCACTTTTGTTGCTGTTGTTGTTATGTACCATGGAGTCAGAACTGACCAATAGCTGGTCATCCAGTAGGTTTTCAGAGGCAGGAAAACACATGGGAGGAGACTGCCCATTTTTCTCCTTTGGAGGAGCTAGTGGATTCAAACTGCGTGCTTTTGGGTTGGTAGCTCAACTCCTTACCACTAAGCCACCAGGGCTCCCTAGACCACTAGATTAAAGATTAGAAATACATTTTAATTGAAAAATAACAAAGAGCAAGGAGCACCAGGAAACTAGGTTAGAGACACCTGATACCAAGAAGAGAAGGAGAGGAGGTGGCTGCCAGATTAGGATTCAAAGAATTTCAGACTTTTGGGCCAGTCCAGATCTAAATCACATAAATTCTAAACAGTACGTCCTATTGTCATGGATTAAACTGTGTCTCCTAAAACACACGTATTTAATGGTGTAAGGTGGAAGTGTTTAATGATTCCTCCAGGATCTAATAAAAAAAACAGTTGTATATGAATTACTAGTTAACTGCAAAACCCTATCCCAGCCCTGTATTAGCTTGTATCGCATAAGAGTTAAAAAAGAGAGCCCAGCAAATTGAGAGGAAGAGATTTGCAGTACCACCAAGAACCATGAGCCAGGAGTGGAGTGTGTTCTTTTGAACTCAGGTCTACTCCTTAACACCACGGAAGGCCAGAACACATGGAAACCGCCTAGGAACACCTGGCCTACAGATGATGAAGGAAACAAGGACCTTTCTCCAGAAGTGACAGATTGAGGGGACTTCTAGAACCGTCAACCTCAGTTTGGACTTCTAGTCTTCTAAACTGAAAAGAGTATAATTTAAAAATAAAATAAAAAAAGGTCATCCATCTACTTCTGGTATCTCTCTTGTAGCAGAACTAGATATGACTAAGAAATCTAGCATTTTTCAAGTCCCTGAGTATTAACGTGTTAAGCTGCTGATTGAAAGGTTAATGGTTAGAAAACTCCTATATTAAGTCTCAGAAGAAAAGTGTGGTAACATATCTCAAAAAAAAAAATCAGTCATTGAAAACCCTATGTACTGCAACAATGAATGAATGAAAATCCAAAATTTCTGTTAATGTTCATTAAAATAAATAAAAAAAGAAAACCCTAAGGAGAAGAATTCTACTCTGACACATAGATTTGTCACGAGTTTAAATCAACTGATTTTTAGGTATTGGTACATTCTCCTTACATGAAGTGGTGAAGAACTAATAAAACTTTCTCCTGCATGTATGAATTTGATCTACTAATTCTCTAACTGTGTTGTTACCTTAGTAACCTGATGGGGGTGGTGATGTGGGCCACTGACAAACCCACTGATTCACCAATGGGTTTTCAGAGGCTGTGAATCACATGGGAAGAGACTGCCCATCTTTTACCAGCACATTGCCTTACCACTAGGCCACCAGAAATAAAATGTCAGCTATATTACTAAAGTAGTAATTACTAATTACTACTTACTATAAAAATAACCTCTAATTCAGTATGGACAGACCAATATCTTACTGTTGTCATCTAGCCAATTCTGGCTGATAATGGCCCTATTCGGGGTGGGGTGGGGAGAGATGTATCCATCAAGTTTCAAGGCTGTAAATTCTTCCAGAAGAACAAAGACTGAGAAGACTGCCTCCTCTTTTCCCAGTGGATTTGAACCACCAACCTATCAGTTAGCAGTCTAATGCATAACCATTATACAAACAGGTCTCCTTATATAGAAAGAACTACAAACAAATCATAAATACCTTATGAGGACTTGATTTTCTGTGTCTCACTGAATGTGCTGACTCTTATAACTCTGCGGAACATGAAACTTTGAAGCTGGAATAGCTCACATTAATTCCTGACATGGATGGACCTGTGTCCTTGCATGTGAGCTATGCATATGGGTAGTTGCAAAGGCCACTGGGAAGGCAGGCCTGACAACATCACACTGTTCCCTCCTGCATTACAGCTTCCTATGAAGAATGGTACCACATATGCCTCTTGCGGTTGTGAATGCTAAATTAAAGATGCCCTCTGGTGGATACTACAAGGTAATAGTTTATTTAAAAAAAAAATCAACACTTGCCAGTTCTACAAGTCGGAAAGAATCTGTGATTTGTGATAAGAAGGTTCCCCTATCTATCAGGAAGTACAGCACGCTATGAAATCTTTTATAAAGGGAAATGCCATTAAGCAAAGAAGTAATTACCACAAAAAGTACTCCCAAAAATATAACTTACCAAACTATACCAAAAACCACATAAAACCTAAAATAGCAGTAACATGGAGAGTTCCCAGACACACTTCAAGGCTATGGTGACTCGACGCTGAGACGTTGAGTGCAGCTCAGGGAAGGACCTTGGTGGCACCATTTTCACCACTTGGGGTACATGTTATCGCTTTAAAGGTTTGCTGCAAAATAAATACTAGTTTTGTTCTTCGTCTTTTTTCATAGAGAAAAATTCTCTTTGGAAGGCTTTCAGACTGTGATAACAGATACCAATGCACATCATTCATAAAAGTCAAGTGGTATAAAGCAAACTTTGGAAGAGCACGGGATATCTATGCTGAAATTCACATGAATATTGCCTATAGGAGCGTAAGTGAAAAATAAGTAGTCCTCTGGGGCACTCTAAAACACTGTCATTGATTATGTGGACTAAAAGTGAGTACACGGAGAAGTCTCTCCCACAAAGGCACAAAAATATTTAATTTCTTTTTCTTAAAATGAATAATTAAGTGTGGTCTTACCATAATTTGGTAAAATACACATGTTGAGAGGTACCATCAGCAGAACTATACTTCCCAGGAATATAAAGGGCACCTCATACCCAAAAGATTGATACAAAAAGCCACCTAACGGAGGTCCCAGCACCAGGCCAAGTCCAGAGAAAATTTCCAGACTCCCCTAAAAACAGAAAAACAAAAGAAAACTTTGTTAATATATTTAAAGTAAGGGATTATTAAATCAATATTCAATGGGCTCACACATAAAAAATTCTTTTAATCTCTATATTTACACCAAAATAAATCACTAATGAGAACAAAACTAACAACCCACTACAGGTAAATGAGCAAAAGGTATAGGAAACTATTGGTGCATAAAATGAAAATGAAATCTTTCTAAGATATAAAAAGAAGCTAATTTCTACCTTTAAAAGAAATAAACATTGAACCCCAAGATACTTTCAAAGTGACATGATTAGAAAGTTTAACACCATCCCATGCTTCCCAGAGAGTGGGGACGGAAGTTCTATTATCCATTGCTAGTAGAGTGAATGTTACCTAGTGACTCTATATAGCAGGGTAGGTTAGAGCAGAAATGCTCACTACGGTTTCCTAGGCTGGAACAGCTGCATAGTATATAGGAAAAGAATGAAGTCGTCAAGGACGTCATTTTACTTGGATACACAACAAATACCCAAGAGGCACCAGTTAAAAATTAAAAATTAAAAAAAAAGATGTATTGCATTGGGCAAATAAATATGCTGTTAAGGACCTCTTTAAAGCAGGATGCCACTTTAAAAACTAAGGTGTAAGTGATTCAAGCTGTGGTATTTTCATTTGCTTCATATACTGTCATATGTGTATGAAAGTTACACAATAAAAAGAAATAAGGGAGCTCTGGTGGCCTAGTGGCAAGAAGCTACACTGCAATCCCAGAGGAGCACGGCTAGAATCCAGATGCTCTGCTGCAGAAAGAGGGACAATCTCCTCCTGTACCAGTCAAATCCGATTTGACGGTACACACACAAAAAGTAATGAAAATAAAATTTAAAAAAAAGAAACACCAACAAGAACTGATGCCTTTGAGTTGTGTTGGTGAAGAAGAATATCGACTACACCAAAAGAATATGGACTGCCAAAAGAACCAAGCTGTCTTAGAAGGAGAGCCAGAGTACTCCTTTGAGTCCAGGCTAGGGGAAGCACATTATCAGGAAAGGCGTGTCCCTGGAGAAGGATAATGTTCTTGGAGAAGTAAAGGATCAGCAGAAAAAGAGGAAGACCTGAAGGAGCTGGACTGACGAAGTGGCTGCAGAAAAGGAGCGAAGCAGAGGCGAGAACGTTGAGAACGTGAATTCCGGCAGGACTGCACAGGGGGACTCTGAGTCAGAGCTGACTCTGGCACCTAACAACAGTGGGCCGTCATCGACAGGGGCGATGCCTGCCAAATCTTAAATCCTGAGGAGCAACAGGCTGGTACAAACAGCAGTTTCCCATTAATAGCCAAGCACTTAACCACTGTGCCAGCAGAGTTAATACCAGAGGGCAATTTGGCAGAATCTCTCAAACTGATAAATATGCCTATCCTCTGACTTCAATTCTACTTCTAGGAATTTAACTTACAGCGACAGCCAAATGAGGCATGATACATGTATAAATAAGGTTACGCATAGAAGCACCCTTTGTAACAAGAAGATGTCAACAATCTAGCTATTTATCAACAGGTGACGGTTTAGATAAAGTATAGTCAGTAAAATACTATACCACCATTATGGAGAATTGGGGCAAATGGGGGTGGGGAGATAGCTCTTCATACTTTAACAAAGAAATAGCTCTCAAGTGCATTGTTAATGAAATCAGCAAGGCATTAAAGTAAATATAATATGCTACCATTTTTATAAAGGGAGCTCTGGCAGCCTAGTGGGTAAAGAATTACACTGCCAACACAAAGGCACATAGCTCGAATCCACCAGTGACTCTGAGGGGAAAAAGATGAGCAATCTCCTCTCTAGCAATTTATAACCTTTGAAGACCAGCTAGACAGTCAGCTATGAGTAGGTCTGACTCAACTGCACATATGCACAACAAGCATTTGTGTAAAGAAAATAAGGCAAGACATGGAATCATGCTTGCTTTATTTAATGTATATATGTGCGTCATTGTGTATACATGCTTACATGGACTCTTTCTGGAAGAAACGTCTTATCTATTATCTTCTAGGAAAGGGAATAAGAGGACTAGATAGCTGGGAAATAGGTGTGAAGGTAAAAGTGTTTACTAATTAGCTGTTGTTATTGTTGTTATGTGCCATCAAGTCAACTCAGACTCATAGTGACCCTATGTACAACAGCTCTGAACTCTGTCTAGCCTATGCCAACTTCATTGTCTCTAACACACCTACCCGCATTACACTAAGTCAATCAATCTCATCCAGGGTCTTCCTCTCTTGCACCTTCCCTCCACCCTTACAGGCATTAATGTCCCTCTCCAAGGACTGGTTCCTCCTTGAAACAGGCCCAAAATGCATCAGATGGAGCTTGGTTTCACCCTCTCTAGGACAGACCTGTTTGTTCTCTTAGCAGTCCATAGTCCCCAACATATGAAGTACCAGTAGAAGTCAGTTTAATGTAAGTCCAATACTTTTTTTTCCCAGTTTTTATTATTCCCCTTTGTTATCAGTTTTATAAAATTAATCTCTGAAAATCTGCATGTGAGTAGCTGAATATGGTAGCGTTAATAAGATGTACAAAAAGACTCCCCAGTCCAAAAGGTCCTAAGTGGGGTTTGCTATAATGCAGAGACATCAGCAGCTTGAGACTGGTTGTATCCCTTTCTGTAACTTTAAAGAGTTTGTACCATATAATATTATTTTATTGCTGCTGTTAGTTAAAGTGAAAATAAGAAAAATAGTGCCAAGAGAAAAGAAGGGCTTACTATTATACAAGTACTATAGAAACTATAGGGGAGTCCTAGCAGCTGAGTAGTTAGAAGTTGCACTGCTATCCCAAAGGCATGCAGTTCGAAGCCACCAGGCGCTCTAAAGGAGAAAGATGAGTGATAAACTCCTGTTTGAATTAAAGTCTCTGGAAACTGGTGGGAGGGTCAGCTATGAGTCAATTATGACTCAAAAGCACATAATAACAATCATAACAAAGACATTATAGGGCGCTCTAGTGCTGTTGTCTGACTCCAAATACACTCCTCAACCTAAAGGGTGTGAGTCTCTGGCTGTCTGAATATGTCGACAGCTCCAGGATAGAAAGTTGGGCAATCTTTTCCTGTTACAATTTACAGCCTAGAAAACCTGATAGAAGGACACTGTGAGTCAGAAGCCACTCATCACGGCGAGCGAGTGACCGCTAGACACAATAACCATTTTAAATAAATCTCGTCTGGAGAGCCTTTAAGAAGTCACAGCTTGCAATTTTACATTCTCTGACGTCATGGAATACACTCCATAGTTAACTGACTTTCCACGCTTTGTAAAAGGTACAGTATTTCTACATTTATTCAGAAAGGGTCATCTTGGTCAACTATTATGTCAGACATTTTGCTTTTTGGTGAAAATTTTCTACAGAAACTCAGTATGCCAGCACTGGTTTCCCTCTGCTGATCAGAAAATATAATGGAGTGCTACCAACAAAATGGGAATTTCTTGGGCAACACTTCCTACAGTATTGCATAGACAAAGATTTTAAGAAATTAACAAGTGCTATCTGGTTAAAGTAAGTCTATGTTTAATTTGGGAAGCAGAATATTAAAGTATCTTTATTCCAGGAGCCTTAGTAAACACTAATGTGAATGGACAGTGCTAAATTTGGGGACAGCATACAATACACTTCAGTAGTGTTAACGTTACAAAACCTTGATTCATGGAATATGTTTAGGGATGAGAGTGCTGAACCTCTTTGAGAAACATATTTCCAGAAAGTGTAAACAGTATGCCTGCCACAAAGGCTACCACATGCCAAATGGTTATGGAACTTAAATGGACGAATAGCTATATGGAGATGTTCAATGCAAAGTTAGAACTCTTATGCAGCAAGCAATGTACCAACAGAGCAGACGTACAAACTATAACATTATGGTAATATACGGGTGAAGAGGGAGTGCTTGGCACTAAGCTCTGTCAGACAAGCACATGCTAGGAGGTATGAGAAACAGACAATGAGATCTTTAGTGACGAAGGCCCCCTTCATCAATATTCATCACTAAAGAGAAAAGAATATAGAAAAGTCTGTCAGGGGTCAGGGAGGCAGACCACAGATCTAGGTCAGAAATCTTCCATGTCACTAACACTGGGCCCACATAATTCTCAGAATTATAAGAGAATATGTATCAATATGATATCCCCATGTTCTAAATTTTCATGACAAAGTAAGATAAGTCAGAGACTAGACACACTTAAGGACCTTGAGATGATCCCTAAGGCCCTGTTGATGAGGCTGGCGAGAACAGAGTAAGGATTGCGACATGAATAGAGAGTTATGCCACCAGAGAGAACTCTTCTTAAGAGGAGGAGTAATTTAGGCATCTTGACTACAAACTAGAATGCAGAGAGACAGGAAAAAGAGTACTGAGATGTGTAGAAAAAGCATGGAAAAATGGAGTATTATGTTTGCCCATCAAACTTCCTATTTAGGCAATTCTAAGAATAGCCATGTAGTGCCAGCCTGGCCACCAGCAGCAGAATGCAAGGTAAGGAAACAAAAACAAAGAGTAGAGAAAAACAAGTGGAGAAGACTGAAACTTGGCTTTAATATTGAAGGTCAGCCTGGACTAAAAGCAAAATGGAAATAACTTCTAAAATACATACCAATACTGTGGCCACGTTATTTGGAAAGGCCTTTGCGAGGATGGAAAAAGATGCGGTTATCGCTGCGGCAAAGCTTACCGCATCTGCCACTCTCACGAGAAAACACATAGCAATAAAAATTGGCCCATCTGGAAGCTGGTCCAACACACTAAAAAGAAATAAAGGAATCGTCAGTTATAAAATTGGATTTCATTTATTTCTGTCCATTTTTTTAAACTATTGTCTGAAAGCACTAGTATATTTCAAATGGCCATTAGAATTGACCTCTTTAGAATGAGTTTTTTAAGTAATCACTGTCATATTTTCATTAGAGGAAAACCTTTTTTTTATAATCTAAGGAGAAATGATGTCAGTTTAAAGACTCACGTGCACCCAGCCGTGCTATAAGTCGGACAATAGAAATGATGACAGAGAAGTATTTATGCCTTTAAGTTGTGGTGTTTCCGAAGAGTACTGAATATTCTAAGGACACTAAAAGAATAAACAAGTATGTCTTGGAGAAATTGCAACCTGAGTTCTCCTTAGAGGCAAGGATGGTGAAATTTCATCTCACCCACTATGGGCATGTTGTTAGGAGTGACCAGTCCTTGGAAAAAGACATCATGGGCAAAGTGGATGGTGAGCCAAAAAGACGAGGACCCTCACAAGATGGACTGACACAGTGACTATTGCAACGGGTCCACGTATGTCAGAGATGATGAGGATGGCACAGGATAGGACAAGGCTCAGATCTGTTCACAGGGACACTATTAGTCACATTTGACTTGACAGCATCTGGTAATAACAATAAGAAGATATATTAATGGTTTAACTTCCCTTTCCTGCTGACGTTATCAGTCCCCTAGATGATAACACTGCATAGGCCTTGTAGGAATCAATGGGTGATATAAAGGGTTAAGTGTTGGGCCAAGAAGTTTGATGGTTCAAACTTGGCAGATATGCTTCAGAAAGCTCAGCAATTCAATTATGAAAGGGCACAGCTTTGAAGCTCCTGTGGGGTGTGGTTCCCATCTGTACACAGAAGGTCACTACTGTTAGAATGATTCCACAGCAACTAGAAACAATGACAACTGCTACAAAGGCCTCGGGAGAACATGCAGAATCACCCTGATAAGAACCTACACAGAAAGACAGACCTAGAGCGATCCAGGTTCAAGAGAGGGCCCAAATGTGGAAAGAAAAAAAAAAGGCAAAAAAATAAGACTTCTTAAAATTTTTTTTCAAAGAAAAAATCAATCTAAATTGTATCTGATAGGAAGGATTTACTGAGCTTCATTCAGAATAATCTCACTATAAGATGTCCATTCGCTATGTTTTTCCCCAAGTGCTCACTCTTCTAAGTAACTGTCCAGTGGGTTGATAGTTTGAAGAACTCTCAGATTGAGATCTTCCATAGCCGTTTTCCCTCTGGCATTCATTTTCCCAGCTCTGGAATTAGCTGTACTTTCAGAAGTGAGCATGTGATCCTGGCCTAGTCAATCAGAGTATTCTCTTCCCACCTAGCCACAATGGTGGAGGGAGAGGCTAGGAGTTGAGTTCAGATCAGTGGGTTTCATACTGGGATTCTAACAGGGATTACTGGGAAAGTGGCACTCACGACACTCTCTTCTTTCCCCTGGAGGAGCTGAGGGGGTGGGAGGCAGGGGCTCATGCTCTGTTCTTTCCCTGGAGGAGCTGAGGGGATGGGAGGCAGGGGTAGGAAAGGAGAGAGAGAGGTAAAAGAAGGGGGAGAACATCTTGCCACCTCAAGAGGAAAACTTAACCAAGAACCAACCACACAAAGAGGAAAGAGAAATGAGAAGGTAGGGAAGTTGGAAAAGATATTTAGTAGCTCATTTCAATATCCTAATCTTTTCTGCTCACCATGGATTAACACAGTGCCTGTAACAATGGGCTCAAGTGTATCAGATGATGAGGCATAAAATGGGACAAGGCTCAGATCTGTGGCTCACGGGGTCACTGTGAGTTATCGTTGACTCGAAGCACCTAACAACAACAACAGTACTCCTTGAGCTATTCTTTAAGTAAAAAAAAAAATCAGGTTTTTGTGTAGGAATTAGGTTTCTGTCAGTCCCAATCACCAGGGTCCTAATAACTAGATTCAATAGCCAGCTTAATTGGGATCCCCTGGAGGACTTCTATCTTAAGATTAACTATGTTCATCATCACTCCCCACACCTCCTCATCTGTGTCTGGCACAGACCCTGAATTTAACAATCAGGACTACTGACGGAAAGAAGCCAGCAGCCTTTCAAAATGAAGGTTCTGAAATCTGTTCAAACTCCCCAAGAGATGAGAAAATAACTTACCCAAAGAGAATTGTAACTCCTCCTGAGACAAACATTCCCGCTACAAACATAAATTTTGCTCCAATATGCACAAGCTATAACAAATGTCAAAGAAGAGTGGTAAATTGATAACTACTTCAAGTCTGTGTTAACACAAATAAACCCACTGTCAGAAAACACAGGACTTTGAGAAGACATGCAGTTATTATAATACTATGAAAATTAAATGTAACACTTATAAAAATTCCATTCATTGTTATTTATGTTTTGTAATGTCTCTGATCAGAACTGTGAATATAAAACTCTGCATGACCAATCATGCTTTTCGCACAAAATTTACACACGGAAGGATAACATATTGTTTACAAACATGGAAGAAGCTAAAAGTCAATCAACCCCGAAAATAGAACTGTCAGCAATAGCATAATTCATAAAATAGAATGAGGTTTCCATATCAACCAAAGCTGAAACCAACAGAACTCAATGGAGCCCGGCTACTACTACTGCTACTGTTCACTCACTCGTTACCATTGAGCTGGAATTGACTCATAACTGACCCTTCAGCGGGTTTTCAGAAGCTGTAAATTGAATGGGAGGGCATTGTCCATCTTTCTCCCACAGAGCTGTGAATTTGAATTGCCTGTCTTTGGGTCGGCTGAGTAACTTCTTAACTCACTAGGCCGCCAGGGCTCCCACTACTGACTGTTGTTACTGCTTGCCATCAAGTCGGCAACCACTCACAGCTGACCCTCCAGCAGGTTTTCAGAGGCTATAAATCACACAGGAGCTGATCTCCATTCTTTCTCCTGAGGACCACTTAACAACTATCTAGGGCACTAAAAAGGTCCTAGATAGAATGTGAGAAAATGTACGACAAAACTCAGGTTACTAAAAAAAAGGCCTTACACACAAGGCTGACAGACACTAGAAGAACTCTTATTACTCTAAAATAACCTTTGGCCTTAGAATTGAATTTATTTCTACAAATCACCTTTCAGTCAAATAATAAATTGGCCATTAAACAGTATCACCTATAAATAATGTGCGCCCTTAATTGACTGTATGAGACCAAACAGTGAACAATTATTTACCCAAAAGCAACCATGAGAAGAGAAGGAAGAGGAAGGAAAGTGGGATCCGCGTAAAGAGAATAGAACAGAAGTAATTAGAATGCTTGCACATGGTAAGGATTGTATCAACGGCACTGACAATGTGTATATAAACTGGACTACAGATTGTTGCATAAGCTTTCCACTTTTATATATATATATAGAAATAAAACGGCTAAGCCACCAGCGCTCCTCATGCATAAAATAGTGGTTGATGGTTAATTTTATATTCATTAAAATAGAATTAATATTTAAATAAATAGAAAATGATAGCTAATTTTATATTAATTCAAGTTATATACCAATAAATTGGAATGACTCATTATAGAATTTTTATCATATCAAAGCATGTGTATAAACTTTAATACTTACATATTTTCCAAACACCAATGATGCCAGCAAATCAAACACAGCATAACATCCAAAGATCATACCAATAATTGTATTGCTGGCTCCCTTCTTTTCAGCCTTTAAAGAAATGAGAAATAAAATGACATTTGAAAGAAAAATCAGCATCAATATAAAAAGATTGGTACTTTCAGAAAAGCAAATTTCCTGTGACCTTCATCTGGCTCCAAATTCAAAATTATCATTGCAGAGAAAATACATTGGGGAAGGGAAAGAAACTCTGTAGTTTCTATGAAGTAAAAAAACTATAAAGTAAAACCTGGTTTCCAACATGAAAAGAATTAATTCATCAAACTTAGATAGAATTGTTAGGCCCAGTTGGCAAAAATCAGAATCTACAACAAAAGCCCTTGGGTGGGAAAACTCGGGTGCTGTTTCACCCATGAAACCAAGTATATACTAATCTAGACACACTGCATTTCTGGCATCATATTCCTGTATAAGATCAGACTGCACTTAAAACAAAAACCACCTAACAATCAAAATACTCCACAAGAGGAGATTCCATGATCTGGCACATGGCCTTACCCAAGGCGCACCCGGACTGATCCTGTGTTTCTGACATTATTTCCAGCCACCTGACACCCTGCTGGTTCAGGGTTTGGCTATTCAAATCCATACATAGGTGCCTTGAAAAAAGGTTCTGGTGACATTTTGTGCCTGACATATTGAAGAAGACAATGTGCTCCTTCCTGAAACACAAACATAGAGCAGAAATGTTCCTCTGACATTCTATGTTCTCCTCAAAATCCTTGAGCAGTTTATCACCCACCTATTTTACCTATTAATGTTCACATTATCAGGAAAGGTGAGTCCCTGGGAAGGGCTATCAAGCTGAGAAAGCAGAGAGTCAACAAACCCTCAGTGAGTTAGACTGGCACTGTGACTGCATCAGTGGGCGTAGCATTGGAGCGATTGTAAAGACGGTATAGGATCAGGCAGGGGTTTCAGCCAGTAGTACAAAAGGTCACTATGGGAGAAAGAAGGATGCATCCCTGGTGTACACCTTTCCTCATTTTGAACCTTGCAATGTTTCTCTGCTCTGTTCTGTTACTGCTTCCTGGTCCAAGTATGGTTTTGTTGTTGTTGATTGCCTTTGAGTTGAACATGACTCATAGCGACCCTATGAACAAAAGGCCTGAAGCCTCTCTACAACTATCGACATTCATCAAAGTTCACAGAGTTTCCAGAAGCATGTTGTTTAGGAAGTGGATGCCACTTGTGAAAGCACAAACAAGTGTTCTGACATTCCCATTCTTCTCAAGGTTAGTCATAATTTGTTGTGATCCACAAAGTCAAATGCCTTTACACAGTCAATGAAGCACAGGTAGATATTCCTCTCATACACTCTGCTTTCACCTAAGATCCATCTAACATTGGCTATAATGTCCCTGGTGCCACAGCCTCGTCCAAACCCAGCATGCACATCCGGCCGTTCTCTATTGATGTACTGTTGCAGACATTTTTGGATAATTTTCAGCAGAATTTTGCTTGCATGTGATCTTAATGATATTGTTCAATAATTTCTACATTCTGTCAGATCACCTTTTTTTTTTGTATTGGGAATAATTATTAATCTCTTCTAGTCAGCTGGCCAGTCTTCCAGATTTCTTGGTTCAAAATCAGGAATTGTGTATACCAAGGATGCATCCTATTGCCATATCTTTCCAATATATATGTAGAACAGATCATCCAGGAGGCTGGACTTTATGAAAAAAGAAGGTGGCATTAGGTTTGGAGGAAAACTCATCGACAGCCTGCATCCTGTAGATGATACAATCTTGTTTGCTGAAAATGAAGAGGACCTGAGGCATGAGAAGATCAAGGGCAGAAAATTGTGTAGGTTAAGCTTTGTGCTTTTAGTATGTGGAACTATAAATTTTGTATTTTGTGTTAAATGACTTAAACTCGTATTTAAACTTCTTCAGTTGCTCTGTGGTTGTTTTTGTATATCATTGAGTAGGAACTGACCCAAAGCTGACCCTCCAACGGATTTTCAGAGGCAATAAATCACATGGGAGAAGATTTCCTATCCTTCTCCAATGGAGCATCTGGTAGATCTGAACCACATGCCTTTTGGATTGCAGCCTTCACTATGGATTGAAGCTCAACGTCAAGAAAACAAAAATTTTAACCACTGGGCCAATTGGCAGCACCATGACAGACAGGGAAAGAGATTGAGATTGTTAAGAATTTCAGCTTGTTTGGTTTCACAATCAAGACTTGGTACCAGTAGCCAGGAAATGCTAATGTGAAACCTATACTTGAATGAAGAGGCAGTCTTCAGAACAGAGCAAGAAAACACTGCATGGTTCAAAATTGGGAATGGTGTACACCAGGGATGTGTCCTGTCTCCATACCTTTTCAGCCTGTATGCAGAACAGGTCATCCAGGAGGCTGGGCTCTATGAGGAGAAGTGTGGGGTCAGGAATTGGTAGAAGATCTAGCAACAATCTGCGTTATGCAGATGATACAACCCTGCTTGCTGAAACTGAGGAGGACCTGAAATGCTTGCTGCAGAGGGCCAAGGACTACAGCCTTCAATATGGATTGAGGCTCAATGTCAAGAAGACAAAAGATTCTCACCATAGGACCAGTTGGCAGCATCAGGATGGATGGTGAAGAGACTGAGATTGTTCACAGCTTTAGCCAGCAGACTAACGCATGGCTCCACAATCAACACTCTTGGCACCAACAGCCAGGAAATTAAAAGACATATTGCGACGGGAAAGTCTGCTGTTAGGGACCTCTCTAAAGTACTGAAGAGCAATGGTGTCTCTCTGGAGACTAAGGTGCGTCTGATACAGGCCGTGGTCTTTGCAATCACTCGTTATGCATCAGAGAGTTGGACAATGACTAGGGAGGACAGAAGGAGAAAGATGCCTTTGAGCTTTGGTGTTGGAGAAGAGTATTGAGGGTACCATGGACTGCTAAGAAAACAACAGATTCCTGCTGGAGAGGGTTAAACTGGGCTGCTCCTTGGAGGCAAGGATTCTGAGGCTTCATCTGACATACTTTGGTCATATTGAAAGGAGAGACTGGTCCTTGGAGAAGGACATCATGCTTGGGAGGGTGGAGGGACGGCACAGGAGGGGAAGGGCCTCTAGGAGGTGGATTGATTGGGTGACAGGGGTAATCGGGATGAGTGTGTCAGAGACAATGAGACTGACACAGGACAGAACAGAATTTAGAGCTGTTGTACACAGAGTCGCTATAAGTCACAAGTGACTCGACGGCACATAACAACACCACCACTTTGGATATATTGTTAGGATTCAGTGACTGGGGTAATGGGGGTAGGTGTGTCAGAGACAATAAGAATGGCACAGGATACAGCAGGGTTTAGGGCTATTGGACATAGGGTCACTATGAGTTGCAGATGACTCAACAGCACATAACAGTATTGTTAGGATAAGGTATTCCTTCAAAAGGGACATCATGCTTGAAAAGATAGAGGGTCAAGGAAGGAGAGGGTGACCATCAGCGAGATGGACTCTTACAGAGGCTGCAGTAATAGGATCAAATATATCAGAGATGGTAAGGGCAGCACAGGAATCAGCAGGGTTTAGATCTGCCATTAGATCTGTCACTATGAGTCAAAACAACTCAACGGCATTTCACAACAACATGGCAAAAAATAGTAAATGAAAGGGAAAGCACCAAAAGGTGATGGAAGGGATATACCGAGTAAATGAACCAGAAAGAATTTGTTGATGCTCAACTGTTTCAGGAGGCAGCATACAATCAAGAACCAATGGTAGTGAAGAAACAAGGTGAAGATGTGCTAAAGGTTTTTAGAAAAACAAATGTCTATGAATTGATAAAGAATGAAACATGTCAGTAATTAAATCAAGCACTGGAAGTGTTCATTCATCTACGCAGAAGATTTGGAAGGTAGTACATCATCAGCCAACTGGAAGAGATCACTATTCATGCCCATTTTAAAGAAAGTGGTCTGACAAAACACGAGAATTATTGAACAGTATTATTAATACCACGCACAAGTTAAATCTTGCTGAGGCTGATTTTATAAAATGATTGAAGAAGTACATCAACAGGGAGTTTTACAGAAATTCAAACTAAATTCAGGAAGGCCCGTAGAATGAGAGATATCATTGCTGATGTCAGAAGGACCTTAGCTAAAAGCAGTGACTACTAGAAGGATTTCTTTTTAATCTGTGTTTTCAATGTGTGAAAGATAGTCAGCCATGAGGATCAGATCAAATTTTAAATAAAATTCAGAAGGACGAGAATTCCAGAGCATTTAATTATGTCCATGTAGAACCTGTTCCTAGACTCACAAGGGGACACATGAACAGAAGACACTGCATCATTTAAAATCAGGAAACATGTGTATAAAGGTTTTAACCTTTTATCTATGTATCCAGTCTGTATGCTGAGCCAATAATCAGAAGCTTAACTATATGAGGAAGAACACGGCATCACATCTGTAGAAAGACCAACAACCTGCAATATGTAAATAAAACAAATTTTCTTTCTGAAAGTGAAGAAGACTTGAAGTACTTACTGATGAATATCAAAGATGACCATTTTCAATATGGATGACATGGTAACAAAAAGAGAACAAAAATTCTTACAACTTAGCCAATAGGCAGCATCATAGTAAATGGAGAAGAAATTGTAGTAATTTCATTTTACTTGACTTCATAGTCAACACCCTTGGAAACAGCAGTCAAGAAAACAAACAGCATAAAGCATTTCACCAATCTGCTGCAAAAGACCTCTTTAAAGTATTAAAAATGCAAAGGTGTCACTTTAAAGGCTAAGGTGTGCTTGACTTAAGCCCTAGTATATGCAATAGTCTCATTTACGTAAGAAAGCTGGGCAATAAACAAGGAAGAAAATTGATACTTTTGATATTTGCTGTTGGCAAAAATACTGACTATACCAGGGACTGTCAGTAGAAAGGAGCTTTACAGAAAAGTCAGCAGTTTGAAGCCACTACTTGCTTTAAGGAAGAAAGATGAGCGGTCTTCTTCTGTAAAAATCTACAGCCTCAGAAATTCAGTGGAATGTCTAAGAGTGATGGCTTCAACTCA